TGGTGCATCATTGTTGTGAAGTTTGATGTAATGTGGCTATGCGGCAGAACTAGGGATGGAAACTGGTGCTCACGGGTACAGAGGCACCTTGCGTTCCGCCATACAAACTTTGCTAAAAATTAACTGGTGCAACCGTCCAGTTGCTAGCTGTCCCCAATTCAGCCTTGGAGTCCCTACGATCAACGATACGGGAGATATGGGCCGGAACATTTGGACCCGCGGGTACCCGTGAGCACCCGTTTCCATCCCTAACGGGAAGTGGAGAAAGCTATGGAGCTGTCGAGAAGGTGAGTAAAGGCTCAAGAGCTGCACCAAAAATAGCGCGCCATCCCTCCAGTTTACTTCCTTCCCATCATGCACGCCAAGCACAGGAGTGGCGAATCTCAGATCCGCTGACGGTGACTGCGACAAGGCGTCATCCTGGCGGAAAGACTCTGACTCCGCTCATCTGGCTGTGTTTGTGTAGCTTTGCACCGTGACCGTCCGAACAGCCTTGTGTATCCTGTATGCTAGCTCGTCGAGCTTCGAACACAGGGTGAGAGACACGAAAGTGGTGCATAGTCCCCTGGTACTCAAGGCAGTAATGAGTGGCCGAGTGTGGAATAATTATATAAGTTGTGTTCTTCCTTAAGTGACACATCGAATACGTAGAACAATTTGCGTTGGTTGTGGCGTCGGCCGAGTGACATGGGAGATGTGAGGTCACAGCCGCGTTTGCAAGACTTCCACAGAAAGCCCCAACATTAGCCCAGATGTAAGGGCAATAACAAAAGGAAAACTCGGCGGAGTTGCCGTTCACCAAGGCATTGATAAGGCTAACTGAAAGGTGCCGAGACACTGAGAGGGTATCCAACGCATACAGCCGTAGCATTCCAGAGTCGATACATAGTCGGACTTTGTGGCTTATCTTCAACCGAGCTCGGGTCTTCTTCGGCTCCTGAGTATCTATTCAGCTTTCAGGTCCCCTGAGCACAGACTAGGCTTACGCGTAGCCCCGGCACATCTTAGTATGGTTGGTTTAGCCGTTCGTTCCGCTGAACTCTCGGATTAATTCTTCGGATGGGCAGGTAGAAAAGAATGACAGGTTTTTCATTTAACCTTCGCCACAAAAAGCATTCAAAAGTATGGTCAACGGGGGGGTCGAACCCACGACCTTCGAGTTACACGCACTGCGTTATTAGCTCGACGCTCTAACCAACTGAGCTAGCCAACCGTTGTTGAGGGCCCGGCGCTTGACATTATGATCTCTGCAGCACAGCCACCACGTGTTGCCGCGTGTCCTGCCCATTTCGGCGAGCCACAACAACGATCATGCATCTCGATTCCACCACCAAAGGTTCCCCAAGCTTGTCTACCCACTCGATGGCCATCATCGACGACCCAGATAAGAAGGATCCCAGTGCGTATCTTGAGTCTGGCCCTTCAGATGAGAGGTCTCGATTGTTGGGTGAAGGCCCATCCTCCGGCACTCAGCCTTTGGAAATGGTCCCGGGATATGAGGAGCGTGAAACCGACCTACCACCGGAATTTCACCCATATCACGCCGACTACGAAATTACCTCGAGTGGGGACATATTCTCCCATGATCACCACTTAAATGAAGACGGTGAACATCCTTTGTTATTATAATCAACAATGCAAACTGCTGATCAAACAAGTTAACTACAGTCGAAGCACTCTACCAGTTCCTTCTCTCGCACGCCAAAGTTGCTCCCAACTTCTTCCTCAAATGCCGTGGCACTCATCCCGAAACCCGTGTACGCCACGTAACTCGAACTGAAACTGTCGATGGGCGAACTGTTACACGCACAGAACCCGAAATGTATACCGAGACCGTTATTGACTTTGATTTCACCATCGATATTTCCCATCATCTTCGTCAACTCCCTCCTGTCGTGTGGACTGTTCCGGACGATGAACCGACATATCGTGGAGGAATGAAGCGAGAAGTATTGACGGATACTATGAGCGGAGTTCGCCGTGTATCGAGGAGGATTCTACAAGCAGGGAAGATTTGGCAAGAGAAACGGGAAAAATGGGGGTTACCACCTTGGTTGAGCATGGCAGACCAGCCGGAGACGGCACGAAGGGCTACACCGGCAGACGAACGCATGCCAACTCGCTCAGAGCTAACCCTACGACAGTGGGCCGACAGATATTGTGGGAGTAACAAGACCATGAAGTCATTTAAATTTCACAAGGTGGGTTGTATTTATTTGAC